CCCACCTCGAGAGGCGCAGCTGTGGTGTTGTTGTTGAGGTTGTCCTGCAGTGTGGTCTGAGTGCCCTGGCCAACCTGCTGGTTCTGCAGCAGCATCTCCTGGATCCGGATCTGCTGAAGGATGGCTGGCAGCTCGTAGTGATGGAAGAAGTAAATCATCGAATGCTGCAGAAGGCAAAGGGAAAGGCGTCACTCACTGGACCTGGGCTGCGAGCCCTGATGAACTTTAGAAAACCGTGCTTTCCTCTCACTGGAACGACTGGAGGATTTGGCTGCTCAGTAGACAAGAGGTTATCTGAAATTCTGGAAAGACTGACCCCTTCTCCTACAATTCCTGAAAGCAGCTTCTATAGTCCCTCTCTGAAGACAGGCAATGGAGTACAACCCCCTCCTACCCTTTCAAGGACTGGGAACAAGGGCAGAGGCATTTCTTTGGCCCATCCCTAGTTCCTGCAGCAGAGGAAGGGACAGATCACAGCCAGACACACAACAGGTTTGCCTGAACCAGGATACTGGAGACACCAATCCAGAGCTGGTCTGGCCAGCAGCTTCACTGCACAGACCTGACAACTCCTCAGTGGGATTTCTTCTAGAAAAACAGGACAGAAATCCTTCCCTAACACCTTCCAAAACTCACTTGACACCAGCCTGCTGTCAGTCACTGGATTTGAGCCAGCGACCAGAGCCCTGCTGTTCCATAGCCTCCTCCTGCTGTTCCATCTCCAAACCAGGGATTATTTCACTCTCTTTTATAAATAAAGATTGCTACTCAAAATCAGCTTGACACGAAATCTGATAAAGCCCAAAACGCAGCTGATTTCCTTTGCTTTGCTCCCACTGGCTGTGCTGTTACAATCAGCAATGCAGCAGTTTAAGCTGCAGCCGTCAGACCCCTCAGACAGGTGGAGAGACCAGGACCGAATTCACAGGACAGCTGCACTGAGGGGCAGCAGGAGCAGCAGCCGCTTACCTGGATGAAGAGCCAGGAGGTGACAAGCGCCAGGCTGCTGTACTGCCCATTGAACCGGTAGTGGTACGCATAGAAAGCAAAGTGGTACAGATAGAAGAACCTGGATGGAAAGGAAATAAATATCAGGACACAGCAACAGACAAATGGGAGTTTACTTCTACTCCTAACTCTTCTGAGCTGGGGCACTTTGCACAGGATGGTGCAGACTCCCTTTATTAATTAACAGGTAAAGAGAACTGCCTCGCTATGAACAGGTCTTCAACAGGGCAAACCAAAGGGAAAGGACTGAGGCAGTTTTTGAGATCTGGGTACAAACCCAAAGTGGAAGCAATTGCACTTTGGACACCAGGAGGAGAGGTACAGACGCTCTCAAGCGTGGATGCCCTCCTGCCTGGGACACCTGGAAAGAACCTGCAGGAGCCTCCCACCAGGAAACAGGACAGGCAGGTCAGAGGTCCCAGACAGCTCTCACCTGAGCCAGTGCCTCTTGCTCGTGTTGGTGTGGCAGCAGATAGCATCGTACTGGTCGGCCAGCCACACGATGAGGATGATGTAAAACGCGGTCGTGGTGTCATTGAAGAACTCTGACATTATGGCCTCCATGCCTGCGGGACAGAGGGTGTCTGATGCCAGCATGCTGCAGGGCACAGATGCCAGAGCAGCAAAGGGCTTCCCAAAGGGGCACATGAGGGAATCCTGTCACATCCAGAGCTGTGGCCATACGACCGTACAACAGAGACCACAGCAGGATAATGCAGCTCTGTTTAAAGCTGTGGCTAAGGGCAAACACTTTTCCCTGCTGACTGCAGTCACTGCACAGCCCAGAGCATCAGCCAGCTCCAGACAGGCAGATTTTGTTTGGGTCTTGTTTGGTTTTTTAAACTAAAACTGCAACATGGGCACAGAAAGTGTGAATCTGAAATTAACCGAAGTGACAGACACAGCTTCAGTCTCTGATTTCCAAATAAGCTGCTTTGCCAGGGGACCCAGAAGGACAGTGCAGCTCCCTGTACCACCACATTCCAGAGCCTCCCACCTTGTGATGAACTTAGACACAAACCCCCTGCCTAGCCAGGTCAGAACAGGGAACTCTGCTTCCCACAGGCCCCAAAGGGACTCTGCACATCCCTGAGGAGTGAGGGGACGTCCTTACCTACGAGAGCCAGAATGACAGTGAGGAGAGGAGCTGCAGGGAACGCAATCGTCATGTTCATTTCCAGCATCTGTAACAGGTCAACTGCAAGAAGGAAAACATACAGTAACTCAAAGTGTACGTGGGGCCAGGGAACCTTCACCCCCACATTACTGCCCATTCAGAGCACTGCAGCGTGCAGTGAGGTCACTGTCCCCAGTCCACTGCCCCGATACTGGTCAAGGGACAGGACAGCTCTCAAGCAGAGTGACAGGGGTTTAGGAGGATACACTCCTTGTGCAGCCACACAACAACAGTCAAGAGTACACACACGATGCACTGCGCCGGAGCAGGCAGTGTCCAGCACACCTGAAATCCTTCACAAAATCCTTACCAATGAAGACAAAGATCTGATGGTGTGAGTATCGCAACAGCATCGAAACGGACAGCGTCTGAAATGCGAGAGCAGAAGGCAGCATTAGAGCCACACAGGGTCAGGGAGTCACTTTCAGAATCACAGGACAGCAGAGGCCTGGACAGGCGAGCCCGGGCTTGCAGTGCTGCACAATGCCCTGTGCGTATCCCACATTCTCCTCTTAGAGCTACGCAGACCAATTTCCCAAAGAGTAATTAGGACTTCGCAAAGAGCAATTAATCTTTGTGTTACTGCCGTGAAACAGACAGTAATCTGTTCATAAAGAGACCGATGCTGAATATTTGAGCAGGCGTCAAACCAAACAAGAGCAGCAGAGCTGGAACCATAGTTTCCTCCTGTCCCACATCTGTGCTCCTTCCCACAGTTCATAATGCCTCTGCCAGCAGCCACCCAGCACCCAATTCCTCTTCTCCCACTGCCTGCAGTGTCATTGGACAAGGAGCTGCACCAGAGCACAGTCAGACCCAAAGGGGACAGTCCCCCAGGACTACCAACATGGCTTAGCTATCACTTGGGATCTTGTCTGACACTCATCTGTAATCACCTTGTCTCACACAATCACAGGAGACTCTGTTCTATCTTGATCACTCCTGGCAAATTAGACCTGTTCTTAAAAAGTCTCAGAGGACAAACTTCTGCACCCAGAGTGCTGTAACCACACTTGGAGACTCCCCAACACAAATCTCCCTTCTGACAACACCATTACTTCATTCTATTTCAGCTCCTCTCTTTGTTTCACTGTTAGGACTTTAAGAACTCATGTTAAAAAACAAAACAAAACCAGAGTAGAACCTCATACTCCTTCAGTTTCACTTTAAGAGCAGAGGAGAGCTCAGGCCAGTGCTGTTCCATCCAACACACACTGACCAGCACAGTCCAGGCAATGCCCAGCTCCTGCTGACTTACGAATATGACCATGATGACAAAGGCCGCAAGATACGAGGTCCTGGCCATCCACATGCTGACAAAGCGATAGTGTTCCCCAGACACCACGTTGCGAAGGAAACCTGGAGAAAAACAACCAACACAAACGCACAAGCTCAGTGTGAGGAACCCACAAACTAAGAACAAACTTCCAGTGCCTTCTAAAGGAATAGCATTTAAAACAAATCTATGGCAAGCCCTCCTCAGGCCAGCACTCTTGTTGTTATGCACCGCAATAAGGCAGCAGGAAATCACATTTGCAGACATCTCTCCCCTCCCGCTCGTTTCATTTTGTCCTTGACAGTAACATCCCCACATAACACAGGGAACTGTTCCCAGAGATTAATCAACAGTCAGAAGATGATATTCATGCACCCATAGAAAAAAACATCAGCTGCTCTGCACAGCTGCTGAAAGCGAGTCCTCCGAACCCTACCTTTGTTTTCCTCATTTTCAGCTAAAGCTTTGACACTTGACATCAGGATGTCATCGTAACCCAGGAACTCGTCCAGCAACAGGCGACTGAACCTGTCCCCAAAGCACTGATCTCTGGTAGGATCTAGAGAGAAGACAATAAAACCATTCAAGTCATTCAGACCTTAAGCCACAGAGGCGGCCAGGCAAGCACACGGTCTCCTCATCACTGGGAAGGACACGTTTGCCAGCGTGTCTGCGCTCAGACCTTTGGCAGTGAAGCTAAATTGGGCAGGACTGGGAGGGAAAATGTCACACCCTGACAAATCCAGCCACGCTGTCAAAATGCTAATGTCGATCAGGGCTGTCATGCTCCCTGCTGGCACAGCCATGAAGGGAATTTGCCATCTAGGCTTGGGCTATCTCCCCAGGCTCACCCCAACTAATGGCCCAGAGAAACAAGCTCTGAGGGCCAGGCCCAGGCTCTTTAACCATCAGCTGGGCTCAGCACAACACTGCGGGGTCACCATCCCCACCCACCCTCCTGTGGTGGAGGACACACTGACACCTCCTCATGGCTCCGGGCACTAACGAAGGCTGTTTGAGTTCATCTCACAAAGCTGGTACTGCATTCTACTGTACAAACACTGACCAGCTTGTAAAAATAACCCCAATCTAAGCAAGACAGCACACACAAACAGAAATAATTTCTCAGTAAATTACTAGAATACTTATGAAGGAACCTGTCTAGTGAACTGGACAGTAAACTGCCATTTAACATGGCAACAGCCCATCGCCTACACAGGATACTGCGTAATACTCCAGCCCAGCCGTACTTCAGTTTGATAATGAGATCTGTTCTGATCGCTGCACTAACAGCTTGTCACAGATCAATTAAGTCAACAGGCATGGGACTGTATTCCTGACTTGGACAGGTTTTCATGGAGCAAATGCCAGGAGAAGAGGACACTGCTCCAGGAGAAGGGTCTGCTGCTGCTGACAGTGACACAGAGGGGCACTGAGCCAGCGCCACGCAGCTCTGCTCTGAATCACCCCAGCACTGCAAACCCATGCTCACCACTGGGCTCTACCATCGCACTGCTGCTGATCCTCGCTGAGCCTCATCTCCTGTACCAGGAGGCTCTTCCTCCCTCAGTGAGAAAACTGCGGTGGACAGAACACCCGTGCTCACCAAAACAGGCTCCACCATTTCAGCTGTTCCTCTCGGAGAGGTGTGACCTACTAAAGCAGCAGACACTCCACAAAGGAGCTCTCCTGCATGGAAGATGAGCGCCATCAACTGTTATAAATAGTTTCCACAAGACTAAAGAGGAACCACACGTAGGTATCTCTGCAGAGCAGAGTGCTCACCCGCCCCTGCACCAGCGTGGGCTGGCTCCTGCACTCACCCAATGTCACCACCATGACCGGGATGCTGAGGCGCTGCCGAGTGCTCTGGGACAGGCGCAGAAACCCGTACTCCAGCGAGTACTCCACGATGTACTCCTCCTGAGGCCACACTGCGAGAGGGCAGGAAGAGACACTCACAGCAAGGTGTGCAAACCAGCACCGCGAACAAACAGCACCACCGGATTCCTTCCTCCCTCCCTCCCTCCACACTCTGGGAAAAGAATCATTGCAGACAGAGGCCCCAGGCTGTCAGCCAATTCAAAAGGAATCAATACAAATTCTTTGAAACTGCAGCCCATTCCCTTGACATCAGTCCTTAATGTGAAACTTCTGGGAAAGCTTCGGGGCAGCGGTTGCAGGCTCTGTCGAGTGCTGCCCAGAATCTGCCCACACCTTCGCCTGGTGAGGTCTAGAGCACTTGCTCCTGCGCTGCTCAATCTCTGCTTTCCATGTTGTTTAGGAAGCAGCAGGAAAATACACTTTGCACCTCCTGAACACCGAGCAAACGCTCCACGGGGCAAGAGCACTGCACTTCTCGGGAGCCAGAGGTCACTGCTGCAGTGAAAGTGTCTCAAAACCAAAAGTAGGAGCAATTACACTTTCAAAAAAAAAGGTGCCTGAAGTTTCCTTGGTATCTTTTTTAAAGAAAGGTTCCAAACGGATGCTTTTTGCTACATCATGTCTGAAAGGACAAAGCCTCCTGCTAAGTCAGAGCCAAGCAATTTAATCCCCATTCTTTCAAAACGTCACAGCACATCTTGCAAGAGCCAAGGGGAGGCAGCTGTCAGGCGTCTCAGCGCCACAGCAAAAAAAAGTTACAAGGACACAGTAACTTAAAAGCAATGTACCTGCTTCTCCTGCCCTACAGCCACACCTTTGACACAAACACCCACTTCACTTCCCTGCTTCTCGGGCAGCAAACACAGGCTGGTGTGTTTGTTTCATCTTTTGTTTCCACTATAAAACAGTTTTAAGTTGAAATGAAAATAAAGTGTTTAAATATCAACAAAAGAATTATTTCCTTTGTATCATAAGCCATTTTTCCATGGTAAAACATTCTGTCTAAACACCAAATTTGGTGCACTTACAGCACAAGAAACCTGGAAATACAACACAAACAGGTATGTGGGGATTTGGGACCATTTGGAAAGATGCATTTGTTATTGTTAACGATGTTGGGAAGCAGCAGGATTCTCCCTCTCTCCACACTGCTGGGTCATTTCCAAACGGGTGCTCGGCAGACGCAGGCACAGCTCATGGGTGCACGCAGCGTGACTCTGACAGAGCTTGGGCAACCACTAATGAAGGTACTGCACCAAAGATATTTACTGCTCTCTAGTCTTATGCCACTTAACGATCTCAGAGTCAGGACTAATGAGTTCTGGATCAGCATCAAGCAACACCACGGGAGCAGTGCTGCTGCAGCATGCAGTCTCACCGTTCCCCACGGCCACAACACCCAGTACTTCTGAAGAGCAAAGAGCTCCAGTTTTTCCAGGGTTAGAAGTGTAGGTGAAAAAGACAAATTAAATACGAATCCAATTGCCGTGTTTCTATTTCAGCATAAATAATTTTAATAGATCTCCTCCCCTAACCACAGAAGTTTTTCAACACTGGAATTCCATTTTAAATACTAAAAGCCACTAAATCTGCCTCTGGAGTTTACGAGGCATTAGCAGCTTAGGCCGTGCTGGAACACGGGGAGGGCTCAGGCAGGATGATATCCTGGTGATACAGAGCAGCCACGCTCTATCTCGCAATCCACTAAAACTTGCTCGGTGGCTTTCAGGATTAATGAGCTATTCCAAGTACTTGCGTTGACTCAGGGACTCAAAACACATCCCAAGCCTCGTTTGGAGGAAGGTAACGTGCGCTGTCTGGAGAATCCCCGTCATCTCCAGAGGACAGCGACCTGCTCAGAGGAGGCAGGCTCACCCTCATCCAAGAGCTGGCACCCATCGCTGCAGAAACAATGCCAGAGCGGGAGGCTTCGGCAAATGTTACAGCCCCGTCAAATTCCGACTCCCAGCCTCCCTCCAGTGCACGGAAAGAGGCCGCTCTGGATCTGTTAGTACTGACACGATTAAACACAGGTGAACGCATCAGGGAAGACATTTAAGGTTACTGTGCAGGTGCCCAGAGGAACAAGACATGCAGGGAAGGTGCAGGGGAGGAGACAGCACAGATAGCAGTGGAAGTGGTCTTTACCTGCTCTGGCTAGCATCTCAAACTCGGACACAGTCTCCCTCAGAGGCTGCATACCTTTAGTGGCTGCTTCACTAAACGAGAACTCCTGGGTTTCGTTGTGGGTCAGTGCCTCGGTGCTGCTCACCCGGGATGGCTTGAGGAACACTTTGGGCTCGATATCCAGCTCAAACTGTTGGGAAACCGCAGCAAAGTCACATCAGCAGCCACCTCAGCTCCCACCTCCGTGCTCCCTCTGTGCCCCCCGTGAAGGGCCCCCACCACCAAAGGGAGAAGAGAGGTCACTTCCTCAGGATTTAATTTCTATCTTAAGTCATCAGAGGCTAATGTGGAGATTCAGGAAAAGCCAAGGAACTCTCTCAGTTTCCAGGTGACCAAGGAATCACAGAGGGACCGCAGTGTCCTTAGGATGACTGCACTAACAAACAACTTCTCCCCAAACCGACACCCAGGTTCCCACCTCCTTCTGTGTGCACAAGGAGCCCATCCTTACCTTGATAGAGCTGTTTTCAAACATATCCACAGTCATCTCCTCCTCTTCCTCCTCCTCTTCCTCAGCTGCAGACTCCACTACCATTCCTGGGAACTTCTCAACGCCACAGAATTGCAGGAAGATGGGGGCTCGGCTCGAGTTGCGCTGGATTTCCACCCGCAAGATGCCATCGCGTGGCCACTTGTCTCGCACATGCTCCAAGCAGTTAATGGGCGAGCGGGAGAAGGCGATGTGAATGTAAGCCAGGATGAAGAGCACCAAGAGAGCCTGCGCAGCAAGAAACAAAGCAGAGGTCATCAGCCCAACCAACCTTGGCCTCTTTACGGGCTCCTCAGTTTTAACCATCTCTTATTTCCCCATGAAGACATCAAATTTGGACAAATAGATTTGCAAGTGGACAAGAGCATCTGTGCTTTCCAACCCTGGTGGTCTCTGCATCGACAACAAAGCAGCCCAGAAGCAGGCAATTTTGGCACTACCATATCAGAGCTGCCAGCGATACCCGTGCGGTACACGTGTCAAACCAACACCATCCCCAAGACAGCTCCACCGCAGGCAAACCCCCCAAAGAGCACCAATGTGTGCTGAGGCTCCAAAGCACATTGGAAGAAACAGAAACACATCTGTGGTGTTCAGCTATTGCCTCCTCAGCACAAAAAGAGTTTCCTGCTG